AAAACATTGAAGAGGGACCAAAAATAAGCATATTTACAGAACTATAAAAACTCCAAAACAGTATACAAACATGCTAGAAATGCAATGCAAAATAAGGCTCAAAAGAGGCTATAACATGAGGTATACAAAATATTCCACAAACGGCCAAAGACCCTTAATGAAACATGAAGAATGGGCCAAAATAAGACTATTTTCAGAACTGTAAAATGGCCAAAAACAAAAGCATGATAAGCTAACAAAACATGCAAAAATGGGGACCGAAAGAGAGATATAACATGAAGTGGCATATAGAGGTCCCAAACCATGAAAAGACCTAAATGAAACATGAAGAATGGACCAAAATGAGACTATTTTCAGTACTGTAAAATGGCCAAAAACCAAAGCACAATAGGCTTCCAAAGCATGCAAAAATGGGACTAAAAAGGGAGTATAAAGGCAAGTATAGCATGGAGGTCCCAAACAGTGTTGATCCCTTCTTCAATGTTGAAGAGGGGCTCAAAATAAGCCTATTTATAGAACTGTAAAAACTCCAAAACAGACCACACGCAAGCTAAAAAAATCATGCAAGAAAACGGTATTTAAGAAGGGTATTGAAGCAAGTGCAATATGGGGGGCTCAAACAGGGTTGAGCCCTTAAGAAAAAGTGAAAATGAGCTCAAAGCAAGGCCACTTTCAGTTATGGCCGGAGCTCAAAGCAAAAAGCATATATGGTTAAGAAAAGTTGCAAAAATAAGCCCAAAAAGGGTGAAATAGCAACTCACCCTTGTAGACCAATCTTTGCTTGCTTCTTGGACCAAGTTGCAGCACCTTTAGCCTTTGAGAAGCCCTCCTTGTTGCTGGAAATGAAGTGGTGATGGTAGAGCTTGGTGGTGATGAAGGAATGAAGTATAGAACTTGGATGTTTTTGAGGAAATGAGAGAGATAGAGGGAGGTTTGAATGTATATGCTTGAAGGCAATTTCTCTAACCCCTAATACAAGTGTTGGCCCTTGGTTATATGGACCAAAAAAAGGGGCAAAAGGTGGGGGAAAAAGGAGGCAAGCTTTCCCCCACAAAATATCCCCCGGATATAGATATTTTCTGGGGGATAAAGCTATACAGCTGTAAAGTGAACAGTGTGAGGATCATGGCCGGCCAGGTATTTTTGTTGCAGGTGGCCGGCCGGCCACACCCCCTAGCCGGCCGGCTAGGGGTCAAAAGGGTCAAGTTGAAATAGTGGCCGGCCACCACTTTTTGGGGTCCTCCCATGTGTGTGAAACACAAGTATGTGGTTCAAAGTTCAAGAAAATGGGCCCAAGGTGTTCAACATTAGCCCGGAAGGAGGGGTTCAAAAGGGTCGAGCAACATTAGTGGCCGGCCACCAACTTTTAGGGTCCTCCCATGTGTGTGCATCACAAATATGTGGTTGAAAGTTCAAGAAAATGGCCCCAAGGTGTTCAACATTAGCTCGGAAGTGTGGAAAACGGGCATCGGTCGGAGGATATATAACTGGTTGCTGCAACAATTACTGGCCTCCCACCCTTCAGTGACCTTCCCAGTGATAAAACAGAGGTACCTGCCAAAAAGGAACGAAAACCGTTGCAAAACGAATGTTCGGGGGCCAAAACGCGCAGTTCGAGGTCCCGAAAATGGGCTGTTAAGCACCGAAAGTGGCATTCGGCCACGAAGTGGGTTTCTCAGACCCCAGTGTCCCTCAAAAGGGAGTATAAAGGAAGTATGCCAAAAATCAGAACAAACGGAGATGGTTAAGCGGTCCCGAACCGAGGCACGCGGCCTGACATCTCCGAAATGGGCAAAATGGCCTACGGCCACCAAATGTTGCCCACGGCCACTGAGAGATGGTCTACGGGACCTCTCCCTCCCCCCAGGAAAAGAAACAGAGAAAACCGAGTATGGTTCGCAAACCGAGACAAGGCACAGTAGAGAGTTCGGAAGTCCGGAGGCAGGGCTCGCAGCCGCGACTCTGAGACTTCTGAACAAGCACAACATGCAATATCACCGAGTGCTCAACTGGTGACGTCTGAGTCTTAAGGTCAGTCAAAAATGGGGTGTCTACAGCTAAGCAACAAGGGTTGATCATCAAGCTAGATTTTGAGAAATTTTTCGATTCAGTAAACTGGGAGTTCCTGTTCTCTTTGATGTCCAGCTTTGGTTTTGGGGCTAAATGGATCTCCTAGATAAAAACCTGCGTATCTACATCCAGAATTTCCATCTTGGTCAATGGTTCACCAACTAATGAGTTCTCTCCGCAAAGAGGGCTCCGACAAGGTGACCCATTGTCACCCTTCCTCTTCAATATAGTGGCCGAGGGGCTTAATATTCTCCTGAATAGAGCACTACATCTTGGCATCCTTCATGGTGTCTCGGTTGGGGTTAAGGAGGTTCTTTTATCTCACCTTCAATTTGCTGATGACTCAATTTTCTTCTGCGAGGCTGATATGGACCAGGTGGTGATTGTCAAAAGACTCCTTCGATGCTTTGAAGTCCTTTTGGGGCTTAGAATAAATTATCATAAGAGTGTTGTATTTGGTGTAGGTATGAATGATGAGTCTCTAAATGCAATTGCCAGATTCTTGGACTGTAAGGTGCAAAGCTTGCCACTGAAATTTTTGGGGCTACCTTTAGGAGCCAATCCGGGTAAAAAATCAACCTGGAAGCCTGTGCTTGATAAAATTAGATCTAGGCTTTCAGGCTGGAAGAGGCAAAATCTGTCCTTCGCTGGGAGGTTAACCTTGATCAAGTCTATCCTTTCGAGTCTCCCTGTGTACTATCTTCCCTATTCAAGATGCCTGAAGGTGTGGCCCGTGAAATTGAAAAGATTGAGGCTGCTTTCTTGTGGAGTGGTGATAGCCTAAAAAGAAAAGTTCATTTGGTAAAATGGATTGAGGTCACAAAGAGTATTGCCCAAGGGGACTTGGGTATCAGAAGGATCAGGGATGTTAATGCATGCTTGCTTCTAAAATGGTGGTGGAAATTTGGAAATCAAATCTCAGCATTATGGAGGAAAGTTCTTTGTAGTAAGTATAAAATTGAGGTTCAGTGTTGGCATCCTCCTATGCAATCCTCCTACAAGTACTCTAGGGTATGGAAGGACATCACTTTTATAAGAGTACATAGTTCACATACGTTTCAATTCTTCTTGCATAACTGCCAAATCAAGGTTGGGGATGATAGTCGTATCAGATTTTGGCATGACAAGTGGTGTGGATCTGCCTATCTCAAGGATGAGTTCCCCTCTCTCTTCAATCTGTCTGTTGATAAGAATGGTTCTCTCCAACAATTCTATGCCAGGAAAACCAGCTCTACAGTTTGGAACTTTCCATATAGAAGAATCCTGTATGCCTGGAAAGAGGCCATTGAAGCTAAGTTGATTATAATGTTATCTTCTGCCCCCCCCCCTTGAGCCTCAATAGTCCCGACAACATGGTGTGGTCTTCTGCGGCCTCAGGTTCTTGTGTTTTGTCTGTGTCTTCCTTATATTCTCTCTGTAATTCTCTCCTTGGGCCACACCTCAACATCAGCAAATTCATCTGGAGCAATATCTTACCTCCCAAAGTACATTTCTTCGGATGGTTAGCATGGAAAAACAGAGTTAAAACAGCAGTGTTTCTGCTCGATATTGGTATCTTAGGTAGCAATGTTTCTCCATTATGTCCTCTCTGCAAAATGGCCCCCAAATCTGTTTCTCATGTTTTGCTTCATTGTCACTTCTCTTGGACCATTTGGTCATCTGTGTTATATGAATGGGGGCTCTGTTGGTGTATCCCACAATCTGTAGCAGCTCTGTTCAATTGGTGGATAGGGGAGAAATTCAAGCACCCACTCAGGAAATTTTGGGGAGCGATCCCACTGGTAGTACTCTGGTCCCTTTGGAGACTTAGGAATGAGTGTGTTTTTAGAGATGCTCATCCTAATTCTGCAGAATTGTGGGAACTTATTAAGATCAGATTGGCTCTTTGGCTTAAAGCTTCTATTAAGGATTTCCCCTTCACAGTCGAGGACGTGGTTCTCAATTGGAGACAAACCAGGCTATGCTATTCAGTTTAAAAGAAATCTATTGCCGTGTTGTTGAGTATCAGTTGCAGCATTCTTGGTCTGCTCTGTCTTCGTCTGCTGATGTTATCACACTGGTGTTTCTGCTGTTTCTGCTACTGTTTGTTCTGTTACTAATCTAATCTGTCAATGAACTGCAATCTGTTGGTGGTGATCTGTGGATGGTAGAGTTATTTGTTGTTAGCCCATCCTGTTAGTGATCTGTTGGTGATCTGTTGTTCTGTCGCTGAACTGGTTTTTTGGAATTAGTGATCTGTGGGTGATGTGTTGTTCTGCTTCTGAACTGGTTTTCTGGCGGGTAGCGATCTGCTAGGCTTCTGCTGCTGATTCTGTGGTTAATTTATACACTCCAGCCATCTTTCGAGTTGTTCATAGGTGATTTTGGTTATGAGAACCTTGCGGAGCAAAATGTTTGTTTTGTCATGTTGAATTGGTGATGATCTGCGGATGTGTTGGGCTGGTTCAGGTGTTATTTGGTTGATTGTTTTCTGTTTTCTGTTTTCCCTTCTTGTTGGTTTCTCACCAACTGGAGCTTTGAGCTTGTCCTAGCTCTGAGCTTCTTTTTATTGATGTAACCTATCACTTTGTTTATTTTCATCAATAAAGATTTTTTTGCCGATCAAAAAAAAAAAACAAAAAAAAAGTCTCCAGACAATTTTTAATATTTATAAAAAGAAGGTAGCATTTTAACCCACAAAATTCATATAATCTTATGATGACCTTTTCAAAATTTTGTTAGTTTTACCTATGTTGCTCACATTTTTAAAAAATCCCATTAGCCCAGTTTAATAATTTTGAGTATTCATACAAGAAATTATCGTTTTAACCCCAAATTCTATACAATTTTTGGTCATGGTAAAAGATAAAAGCAGTTTCATTCATTTTCTTCTTCATATTCATGTTCCAATGATGCTATGCAAGAACTAAATAATTTTCCAACATAAAAAGCTTACCAAAGTTAATATATGTATTGATGCAGGTGGATTATATATTGGGGAACAACCCGTCAGGTATGTCATACATGGTGGGATATGGAAACAAGTTCCCTAGGTATATCCATCATAGGGGATCTTCATTACCTTCCATTGATAAACATCCAGAGCACATCAACTGTGAAGATGGAAGGTCATATTTTGCAAGCAACCGACCTAATCCCAACTTGCTAATAGGTGCTATTGTTGGAGGCCCTGATATCAATGATTCATATAACGATTCTCGCGCTAATCCTGCTCACTCTGAGCCGACCACGTATATAAATGCACCAGTTGTTGGTATTTTAGCATATTTCAAATCGGTTATGAGGAGAGTGGAAGTTGGTTAGCGGATTGTGTTTCTCACAACTGGATCGATCAATGTAATCTTGAATATCATTAGGTTGATTTTTAACAGAGTCAATCTATATCAATAATACAACAAAGCAAGGAAAGTTATTTTAAAGAATGTATACTATTTTTATGGACCACATTTATTTTGGATATGACCAATTTATACATTGAAAATTATTGTATATTGGGGTATCGCATGGCACTATCGTATGTTACCTTTCACCAATCACAAATGCATATGATCGTGGCCAGCTAAGCTGCTGTTATTACCTCCCAAATCCCTAGCAGAATTGCAGTAGACTTACTATTAGTCATCACAGCAGAGAAATGTATCACATGACTTTCCAAAGATAAAAATTATAGGTAGATAGCATTTTATAATGAATATAAAAAAATAAATTGATAGACCTACTCAAAAAGAGGTGTACCCTATTTTACAATGTCTGAATGAGGTATATTGAAGTTTTATCTAACTGATTTATTTCATTAATCAACTCTACGAGCTGAGATCTTAATCTACAATAACGCAGCAATAAATTATTAGTATGAAATACTATCATAATATAAATATAATGCTACAAGATCAGAGAAGCAACATAAGTGATGTGTACCATAACATCATTACCTATTTCTTCAACCAAAATAAATAAATAAAAGCCCAAAAAATATTAGAAAAATCATGACTTCATTAATTTTTCTATTTTCCAAGAAATATAATTTCAGTGTAATGGTATTCTGAAAAATTTATGGGAGATGTTACAATGTGCACTTGCACATTATAGGAAATTTACCCAAAAAGCAACCCAAGAAGGGAGTGAATTGGATTTCTAAATAAATTATAAAATTAAAAATTTAACACAAAAAAATAAAAATAAAGATACGAAACAATAAAGATGAGAATAATAAATTAAGATTTAATCCGAATGAGAAATAAAAAATATGAAGCAAGAGACTAATAAAATAAATTAAGCGAAGAAAAGAGACAGCAAAACACATATTTTATAGTGGTTTGGCTCAAACCAAGCCTATATTCGCTCCCCAAGATCCTCCTTGAGATTTCTTCACTATTAGTCAAATAGTAGTTACACTCCTAGCTTCAATTAATATAATGCTACAAGATCAGAGAAGCAACATAAGTGATGTGTACCATAACATCATTACCTATTTCTTCAACCAAAATAAATAAATAAAAGCCCAAAAAATATTAGAAAAATCATGACTTCATTAATTTTTCTATTTTCCAAGAAATATAATTTCAGTGTAATGGTATTCTGAAAAATTTATGGGAGATGTTACAATGTGCACTTGCACATTATAGGAAATTTACCCAAAAAGCAACCCAAGAAGGGGGTGAATTGGATTTCTAAATAAATTATAAAATTAATAATTTAACACAAAAAAATAAAAATAAAGATACGAAACAATAAAGATGAGAATAATAAATTAAGATTTAATCCGAATGAGAAATAAAAAATATGAAGCAATATAAATGAGACTAATAAAATAAATTAAGCGAAGGAAAGAGACAGCAAAACACATATTTTATAGTGGTTTGGCTCAAACCAAGCCTATATTCGCTCCTCAAGATCCTCATTGAGATTTCTTCACTATTCGTCAAATAGTAGTTACACTGCTAGCTTCACAGGTGCTAGTGAACCTTAACAATCGATCAACCCCGATCACTCTAACCAGGTAGTTTTGAATTCAGTGTTAGTCACACTTAACGCAAGGAATTTAATCAAAAAATCAGTCACAAAAATATTATTATTTTTACAAGAATATAAGAATAAGGATATCAAACCTTTTTACAATAAACACTCAATTCCTCAATAAACTTTCTCTCAAAAAGAATCATAACTCAACAAAAACACACCACACAATATTTTGAGAACTCTTGAATATCACAAACTTTTTCTCCACTTCTATTGCTTTTTTTCTTCTCTCCACAGTGCTGTTTTTATTGTAAAATAAGATATGACTGGTGGGTAATTTCATGCTTGCTCCTTTATTTTCTTCTTTTTCCTTTGTTTTCAAACAGCTGGCTCCGCTATGACAAGCAAGAAATCTGCACAGTTCAATAATTAGAGAAAAGGAAAAAATAATAACAAAATAGAAAGGATTTGAATGGGGCAACCCACACGTGCTGTGTTCCCCTTTTCCTTTTATATTAAATTTTATTAAATTATATATAATTAAAATATTTAAAAGATGCATAATAAATTTAATTATTTTAAAAACTGGTGCAACATATGTCAAAATAATAAAATTTATTTTATATTTTGTGTCAAATTATTGTAAAATATGTTGGTGAGAGTGGGGTGCAAACCACTTATGGTGGTTCACAAAAACAAATACAAGAGAGGATTGATAATCTGAAAAATAGATTTATTTCACTCAAATATATAGAATACACTGAGGAGAGAAAAACACACACTTTTACTCTCTAACTCTCTTCTTTCTCCCACATTCTAAATTCTCAAAATACAATAGCTATATATATATATACATAACTAACAATGTGAAAAACACTAAATACAAATACGACTAAGGCTATGAATTTCAAACGGTTGTAACCACTTTTGACAAACTTGATTGCCGCCTCTATTCTTAGGCCGGTGGAAATTGTTTTATTTTATTATTATAGTGAAGCAAGATTACTTCACAACATCCCCCTTTAATCTTGATTCTCCATGCTGCTTCATCCCAAGCATCAACTTCATTCTGTTAAACAGATCATTTTTCAATGGCTTCGTGAAAATATCTACAAGCTGATCTTGAGATTTGCAAGGAAATAATTCCACCTCTTTATTTTCACATGCTCTCGGATGAAATGATAGCGGGTGTCAATATGCTTACTTCTTTCATGATAAACTGGGTTCTTTGCTAATGAAATTGCTGAGCGATTATCAACATAGATCTTAATAGGATTTTCTTGTGGAAATCTTAAATGCTTCAACACATTTCTTAACCAAATTGCATGGCACACAGCTGAGTTGGCTGCAGCATACTCAGCTTCACAAGTTGACAGTGTCACAATAGCTTGCTTCTTGGACGACCAAGTGAACACTGTATTTCTCATAAAGAAAGCAAAACCAGTAGTACTCTTCCGCTCATCTAAGTCACATCCTCAATCACTATCTGAATAGCCAACAATACTGAAATTATCAATTGGTTTATAAAATAAACCATCATCGACTGTACCTTTGATGTAGCGAAGAATCATCTTTGCTGCATATAAGTGTGACTAATCTAGTATTTCCATATATCTGCTAATCAGTCCTACTCCATAGAGTATGTCTGGCCTAGTGCAAGTAAGATAGCGAAGACTTCTAACTAAGCTCTTGAAATAAGTTGGATCCACATCACCTGCCTTAGATGACCTCTCTTGTACAATTTACCTCCGCAGATGATGAATTGAACGGCCATTCTTCTGATTTCCCTTTTATCCTTGGCATTTGCCCCTGGTGGATACGCCTCTTTCTCTAAGAAGTTTCAAATGTCATAATACCAGGGGTTCTTATCTTAAACCTCGTAAGCTGGCGCAAACTTCTGGTCAATAATGATTGGACGCATCTGGACTCCAAATGGGATGTCTATCATAGAAGATAGAGTTGCTAGTGAATCTGCGAACCTGTTGTTCTCTCTTGCTAGATGAGCAAACTTTAGCTTTTCAAACCTGTAGACACCCCATTTTTGACCGCCTTTAAGACTTGGACGCGACTGATGGTTTTGGAAGTTGTGCAGTGCGGTTTCTTCAGTAAGGAGAGAGTCAAATGTCAACTTCATACCCCCTTTTTCTTTTTTGGACCGAAACAATCTTGATCAAAAGATTTTAGACTTGAAACCCTCTCTTTCAAAACATTTTGAAAATAAAGTTCTACGATGTTCCGACGCTCGCATTTTGTTAAATGTCGTGCTTTTCGGTAAACCGAGCAAGGGCAAAGTGGAAATGAACGAAAGAAAGATGAGATCTTTGAAAAATCTTTCAAAACACCTTGTTCGGGGGTTTGGAGTTGAAGAAAAGAAGAGTGGAGAGAAGAAAGCTAGTTGAGGAAGAGGATGGGCATGAATCGCTAAGAGAGAGTCGAGCGGTCCTCGCTAAATCAGGCTTATCTGTCTATACACTTGGATTTAAGCTATGAGGCCACCACCGTTGGAAAGAAGACTTCTGGGGCTTCATTTTTCACTCAAGAATCTCCTAAAGCCAAGTCCGGACAGGGGAGATATGGTTGGTTGAAGTAGGGCATCAATCTGGTTGGACCGAATATGCGCGGCTTCACCAAAACAGGCATAACTTTTTGCACAGATGGAATTTTAATGCAAGGTTTGTGCCATTGGAAAGCTAACTTCTGGGGCTTCATCATAAGGGGTGGCCGACCACCTTTAACCTTTTTACCTGGTCAGCCGACCAGGTCAAGTGGTCGGACGACCACTTGAACTGGTCGGCCTGCTCTCTCCTTGTTTGTCTCAATGAGTGTGTTCCAGCTGTGCCAGCTGGAAGGCATTTGCTGCATCCTCCATACACGTGTATGGAGGATGTTTAACCTAGCTTTGAAGCTTCTTGGAGAAGCTTTTGCCTCTCCTCTCTATAAAGGAAGCCCTCCCTCTCCATTTGCAAGGGTTCAGATTTTTGTTAGGGCTAAACAATATATCTCTCTTTATATCTCTCTTTTGAGCTCTAAATTGCTTGGTTCTTGGCCCCTTTACACACAACTCCATAGCCTAACCCTTCCATCATCAACCTAAGACCCTTGGAGGGTATTTTTAAAGGTTCAAGGTTGGGTTTTTGGGTCCAGAGGCTGCTGGTTTTTGCTGGTCTCCAAGGGTAATCATTTTTCCCTCTTTTGAGCATTATTTTGATCCATGTCTTAGCCTAGTTTGCAAGCATATTTAAGCTTTGTCATAAACTGAAAAATGTCTTTTTTTGAGCTTCTAAACATGTTTGTTTAAGGCCATTTTTCTGTTGGGGGTCATCTACCCCCTTGCATGCTTCATT